TTGTTCGTAACATGCTTTCAAAGTCAGCTAATCTGCACAGGCAGTTTTGACGAATTTGTTACTTAATAACTCACTTGTGCTACTTTTCTTTTCTTTGCTTGATAAATCACACAAAACACAAAAACATTGTAAATAGCTCAAAAATATAAGGAACTAACTAAGAAAAGACAAGTGAATTTTATGTAAAATATATATAAATATGAGCTTATCACACACATATATATAGGTATATATGTATGTGTGTTATATATTATATATGTTTAGAAAGTAAAAGAGAGTGGAAGAAATACATAGTGTTAGGATTAATCAAGGAGCTTGCTCAAGTACTTGGTGCTTAACTATTGCGGTAGTATCGTTGATCATCATTTTAGCTTTGGAATCAAGGTGGAGGATATTTGCGGAACTTATGCCTATTAGGGTATTAATAAGATTTTTACCAGCTGCAAAAATGGGGATAAAAACATTTAAAATACTTGTAAGAGTACAAGAGTAATTGTAGTAGTCCTAACAAGGTCGTTCGCCACAAGAATTAAGTAAATAATTTATGTTAAACCAAATCTTAATTAATTAATTATTTGAAAACAAAGTATGAAAAATGTTGATTTTATGATTTAAAATATTAAAAATAAATTTAATTAAATAAATTGGGAAGTGGCCTGCCTTTAAAGACATTTTTGAAGGTGACGGAACCCCACGTCACTATGGATAGTTGCAGTGGCGAAGCCACATGAGGGCGAGGAGTGGCGGCCGACACTCCCCTCGTTGGGAAACACCACTGGACCCAGCGCGCACCTTGCTGAAAAACCCTGGTTCATCTCCTTTGTTTTTTTTGGGCAATCTGCAATATGTTCTGTTGCGCACAGCAGCAGCAGATTGTTGTTTTTTTTTTTAAACCAATCCAAAGCGACGTTGTTTTGGGCCTGGTAAAAAATATTTAAAAATTGTAAAACAAAACGGCGCCGTTTTGTATATTTGAATTAAAAAAATATTATAAAGGGGGACCGCTTCCGCGTGTCGCCCCAAAACCCTATATGTCCCCCCCCCCCCGGATTCCCTTTTACTTTCCATATCCCGTGCCGTTCGTTCACCAATCAACACACAGAGAGAGCCAAGCTGCTCCCCAAAATCCTAGCAGCCAAGCCAACGCTAAGTCCCCTTTAATTTCTGTTGAACCTTCACAGTTTACAAGCCACTCTCCTCTCCGGCTTGAGCTTGAGCCGTTGGCTTCAACCAATCACCATTTAAAGGTAAATTTTTTAATTCTTAAATGTATAATCCCTAACCCTAATTAATTATTTAATACAAATTTCATTTAATTGGTATAGAATCATATGGTAATGCATTAATATGGTTATTGGTTATTGATTATTGATGTGAATCATATGTATCACATCCCGGACCGGGTTTCATGATAGGAGCATATTTATGCGACTGAGTTAGCTTGTTCTCATGCATTTATGTTGTTATTTCTAAGTTAATTATGTATTTTAAGCTATTTTCGTGTGTTTGTAGGTCCATAGGCCTTATGAAGCAATAAGGTGCATTTTGGAGCAGTTTTGGGCTTGGAATGGATAGCACATGCATGGAGCAAGGTGGATGGACGAAATTGAAGACTAAAAAGGCTTGGAATGTGTTAAAAAGAAAGGAGAATTAATGTAAAAACGACAAAGCGCTCAACAACCAAAGAAGAAACATGAGTCAAGATTACCTTATCATCATCCATGTTCCCTCCTTGCACTTAATTGCTACACCATTTCTTGTTCCCTCGATCATTTCAGATTTCATGCATCATTACTTTGAATCATTTCAACACCACTCCATTTTACCCATGCTTTGCATCATTACTTCACTTTCACCTTTGAATAATTTCAAACACCACTCATTGCACTCAATTGCTACACCATTCCTTGTTCCCTTCATCATTTCAAATTTCATGCATCATTACATTGAATCATTGCACTCAATTACTACACCACTCCATGTTCCCCTTCATTGCCATGCACTTCCTCTATAAAAGGAAGTGTGTGTAACATAAATTTAGTTCATACTTGGTTAGATCATTCACTCCCATTTCAACACAACCTTCATCCAAACACATCCATTCATCTTCACATCCATTCCTCCATACAAACAAACCTTCAAACACTCACCAACACCTTGTGCCGTAGCAAAGGAAGGGAAGGAAAGTGCTTGGACGTGCTTGCTGTCCAACTTGGATCGTTGGAGCGTTTAGGTGTTTTCTTTCTTTTGTTTTTAATGTTTAAATTCATTTCCTTTCGTTTTGTTGTAAATATGAGTGGCTAAACCCCTTTTGGCTAGGGGTGATTTCAAAGCCATGATTATGTGTGCAATATAATTTGATAAATTCCAGTTATGAACTCTTGAATCGTGAATGCAATTGGCTTAACTATTTGATTGATAACTTATTTGTATTTGTTAATTAAGGGTCGACACTTAATTGGCATGCATAAATCCGTTGCTAGAATATAAAAAAGTTTCACATAATCGTTACAAACTTATATTCACATGTAGTGAAGGTCGCTTATAAACGATCGCGTTAAGCTCAATTCCTAGCATGAGTGACATGATGTCATAGTTGCAAGTGCTTTGTCAATGCTTATGATTTTCATTAAACGTAATGATCTTTGATAGTATCTCTATTATGATGTCATGTAGGGAACTTTTGAAGAATGTTTTGGGTTGTCGAATGATGTCATCCGATCCAATAAAACAAGGAAAATCTGAGAGTTAATTAGTGATGTCACGGTTAATTTGGAGCATTGTCATTCATAATTCAATGAAGTAGTAACTGGAAATTAAGTATTTGCATACATGTCATGTGTGGAGAAAAAGCCTCTAGCTATCCCATCCATCATCTTATTTCTCAAATTTGTTTTACAATCTGTCTAGTTTTTCATACTTGTTTGTTTGTTTCAACTTTGTCCAAAACTCAATCCCCCTTTACTTTAGTGTGTCTAATTAGTTAGAATCTGTTTTAATTTGTGTTTTTAAATGTTTTGATTCAAGTAAAAGTCAATTTTCGTCCAAAGTCATTCCTAGTGTCTAGTTTAAGTTTATTTAGTTGTTTTAAGCTGTTTTGAGTATTTTAAGTTTTCATTGAGTCTTGTGAGTCTTGTTAAGTATTTTTAAGTTTAGTTTTATGTTTTTGAGTCAGTTTAGAGGTTATTAGCAAGCCCTCCTAATCCCCGGTCCAGAACGATCCTTACATATACTTATACTACAATTGTCAAAAGAGGGTTAAATTTGTGTGTTAAGTTAATTTTCGCATCATTTCACCACATTCAGGGCCCGTTCCACCACCGTAGCACGATATTGTCCGGTTTGGGCTTACCATTCCTTCACGGTTTTGTTTTTGGGACTCACAAGCAACTTCCCAGTGGGTCACCCATTCTGGGAGTGCTCTGGCCTCCTTCTCGCTTAACTTCGGAGTTCCTACGGAACCCGAAGCTAGTGAGCTCCCAAAATGCCTCGTGCTAGGTAGGGATGTGAATATACATTTAAGGACCACTCCCCTGGGTGATGTGGGATGTTACAATCCACCATCCTTAAGGGCCCGACGTCCTCGTCGGCACACCACGAGCTCTGATACCATTTATCACATCCCAGCCCGAGTTTCACCACATTCAGGGCTCGTTTCACCACCGTAACACGATATTGTCCGGTTTGGGCTTACCATTCCCTCACGGTTTTGTTTTTGGGAACTCACGAGCAACTTCTCAGTGGGTCACCCATCTTGGGAGTGCTCTGGCCTCATTCTCGCTTAACTTCAGAGTTCCTACGGAACCCGAAGCCAGTAAGCTCCCAAAAGGCCTCGTGCTAGGTAGGGATGTGAATATACATTTAAGGACCACTCCCCTGGGTGATGTGGGATGTTACAATATGCTTCTATGATTATTGATATGAAATTATGAAATTATTTTTTAGGGTGAAATTATTGATACAAATTGGGAATTAGAAGAATCGTGCTTTTAATTTGCTCATATGTATGTATAATTGTACATATAGATAAATTGGCATGTCAAAAGCCATCTTTAACTAAAATTATTGGTAATAAGCCACGAGGTGGACTTGTCTATAATCAAATGGACTCGTCTATAATATTAGTTCTTTTGATTAATTGAATTGTTGGTTGGTTGGACTAGTTATTATGCATACTATAGTAATAATATAGTCTACTTTAGGATTAAGAGTCTAAGAATTTTTATTTCTTTCCATTTTACAGTTACATAATTGAACGATACTATAAGAAACAATGCTTAAATCCTCCTTCAAACATTTCGGGTAGTCATTCTTCTTCAAATATTCCGAGTAGTCCTCCTCCTCCTTCAAATATTCCAAGAAGTCCTCCTTCAAATATTCCAAGTAAGTCACAACAAAGTGAAGCCACTGAGTTGGATGAAATATTGGTTAATCTTCTTGCAGACCCTGCACATAGACGTCGAATGCTTGATTATCCACCTAATTATCGTGAAGCAATTCGTAGACACTATCTCCAAGTTGATCCTTGTCAACCTTGAGACCACATCATGCTAAGAAAGGTTAGTGACAATCGATGTTTTATCATTCGTTGGCTTGATAAGTTTAAGTGGTTGGAGTATAGTATATCAAAAAATGCTGCATTTTGTCGTTATTGTTATATTTTCAAATGTGATTTTGATCAAATGGGTAGCACTGGAAGTGATGTATTCACTGAAATAGGGTTTACAAATTGGAAGAAAGGACCTGAAAATCTTCGAGTCCATGAGGGAGGTGTTGGAAGTCTTTATAATAAAGTTGTACAACAAGCTAGAGATTTGATGACACACAAACAACACATTGAAACATTTGTGATTAAGCAAACCGATGAAGCTCGCATTAATTATCGTACTTTATTGAGTGCCTCACTTGAGTGCACAGAATAGTTGTTGGGACAAGATTTGCCTTTTCGTGGCCACTATGAATCGTTGAAATCAAGCAATAGGGGCAATTATTTGGAGCTTATGCAATTTCTTTTTAAGCATAATGAACAAGTTAGGAAGGTTGTGTTTGAGAATGCTCCCAAGAATCTTAAGTATACTTCTTCCGATATTCAAAAAGATCTTGTCCGTGCTTGTGCCATTGAAACTGTAGATGCAATCACTAAAGATATGGAAGGTGAATTTTTTTCTCTTTTGGTTGATGGAGCACGTGATTCTTCAACTAAAGAGCAAATGATAGTGGTATTGCGTTATGTGAATAAAAAAGGAGAAGCAATTGAAAAGTTTTTGGGTGTTCAACATGTTTCCTCTACAACTAGTAGCTCGCTTGAAGGGGCCATTGAGAAATTGTTTGCTACAACAAATTTGAATATGTCCAAGTTACAAGGACAAGGCTATGATAGAGCTAGCAATATGAAAGGTGAGTTAAATGGTCTTAAAACAAAGATTTTGAACAAATACCCTCAAGCATTTTATATTCATTGTTTTGCACACCAACTCCAACTAGCTCTTGTATTTGTGGCAAAGGAAAATGAGGATGTTGCCAATTTCTTCATCGACGCTAGTAGTTTGGTGAATCTTATTGGATCATCGTGTAAGCATCGTGATGCATTTAGAAAGAAACAAAAAGAATAAATTCAGAAAGCTCTTGATCTTGGTAATCTTGAAACGGGTAAAGGGTTAAAAGTGATCGCAACCAAAATAATCTCGGTGAAGCAACTAGGTTATTCAAAGACATACAAACTTTTGATTTTGCATTTCACCTTTTCTTGATGAGACTTATATTGGGAATTACAAATGAGTTATCACAAGCATTGCAAAAGAAAGATCAAGATATTGTGAATGCGATGGCATTAGTGGAAGTATGCAAGCAAAGACTACAATCTTTGAGAGATGATGACTTTGGGGACTTGCTTCATGATGTAGAAAAGTTTTGTGAGGAGCATGATATTATCATTCCTAACATGGAGGATTTGCATTTCCTACTTGGAAAATCAAGGCGTAAAGCTCCAAAAATCACAAACTTCCATTACTATCGTGTGGACCTCTATTTTCAAGTCCTTGATATGCAACTAAAGGAGTTGAATGATCGCTTCAATGAGGTAAACACCGAGTTACTTCTTTGTATGACATGTTTGAGTCCGGTGAATAATTTTGCATCTTTTGAAAAAGTAAAAATTGTTCGTTTAGCCTAACTTTATCCTTAAAATTTTGATCGTATGGATCTCATGAATCTTCCAATTCAACTTGACAATTACATTCATGATATGAAGATACATAGTGAGTTTTCATCATTGGGAGGAATTAGTGATCTTGCAAAAGAGTTAGTGAAGACCCGAAGGTGTGAAAGCTATATGTTAGTGTATAAACTTCTTACATTGGCTTTGGTGTTACCGGTTGCAACCGCTTCGGTGGAGAGAGCTTTTTCTATTATGAAGATTGTGAAAAACACCATTGTGTAACAAAATGGGAGATCAATGGTTGAGTGATAGTATGCTTGTTTACATTGAGAATGATGTATTTGCTTTTATTGATAATGAGCCTATTATGCGACGCTTTCATAACATGAAACCTCGCCGTCAACAATTGTAATTTGTTTGTATTGATTAATTATGAAAAACATTACTATATAAAAAGATTTAGTTGTTGCCATTTTTCTTTAATCTTGCATTCTTTTAAGTTCGCCCCTCCCCCGAGAAATCCTGGCTTCGCCACTAGACAGTTGGTGTGCCTAATCGGAGGATACCACGTGCCCCACTAAAGAGTCTATCTGATTTAATTTTTTAAGAAAATCAATTAAATAAAAACTAAAACGAAATAATAGAAACTCTCGACAGTTGAGCCAACAACCCATAGCTCCCGTCCCCGGCATCCAATCTGTCTTCCTCCCAAATTCTATTTCATCCTTCTTTCTCAAAGATGGGAAAGAAGAACGCAGTTTTGGCCATATATTCTTAGAAAAAATTGAGTAATCGATTCTCTCAACCCCCACTATAATCTCTAGCTCGAGCTGACATTAACTCAGTGAGTCGGCTCCTGTGCTCATCCGCCTCGCAGTTTCATGCCCATCTCAAAATACCGTACAAGGAGCAAAGATTTCCCGTCAAAGAAAAACTCGAACATCAAGCCGATGAAGATGACGACGAGGAAGATGGTCCACATGGTTCCAGCTGGGGCATATAGCGTCGGCGGGTTATCGATTGGAGGAACTCCATCAACCACTCTTTTCTTGTTGTTGTTTGTCTATAAGGAAGAGGAAGAGAGGGATGTGATGTGGTACCAGATTTGGACGGGATTGGGGTTGGCTTGTCTCGCCAGAGAGGGAGTTGTATGGCCTGGAGATTTTGTATTTGAATCTTTCGGTTCAAGTTTTTAATTAATTAATTTTTTTAAAAGATAAACCTTGTGGATTTATTAATAGAACAGATGTCGTGATTTCATTAAAGGGGAATTCCAGCAGTCAATTTTTCATGGTGATGTTGGCTTGGCAGTCGAGATGTTGTATTTTTTAGGTTTAATTTTTGTTTAATTGATTTTCTTAAAAACTAAGTAGGATAGATTCTTTGGTGGGGGACGTGGAATCCTCCGATTGGATGGGTACACCAACCGTCCATGGTGATGTGGGGTTCCCGTCACCTCCAAAGCAAAAGAAAACAAAAGAGGAAGTATTTTAGTTTGATCCAAAAAAAAAAAAAAAAAAAGAGGAAGTACAGAAAACAAAAGAAATAGTTTTGAAAAATGAACTTAAGTACTAGGGTTTCGTCGTCACATTAACAATCTTACGTATATCTTCGAATTATTATGAATTACTCATGCATATTTTTAAGGTTAGGTTTTCCTAATATATATCCTAGTTGGAACCTCAAACATTGAACATATATCTAACATGCAACTGTCTATGGCATTCGATCAAATGTGAACATGCAAGACTCAATAAGTTTTGTGAAACCCTTTTGAAAAATCATGCAAGCGTTAGGACGTGGCGTCCATCCTAAGTGAAGTTACACATTAACCACAAGAAGCCTTAGTCAATTTTAGGGACAGCCTTCCGCCAAAATTGCATCAAATTATTTTTCTAAATATCCTAATGATGGCCACATCAAGACAATTAGATAATTTCAAATACAGGATTAATAATTCAAAACATGCATACATAACATCATAAGCAAATTGAAAATAAACTACATATTCTTGCTAATGCTCCTGGCCTCACCCTAGCAAAGGAAATTAGTTACTAACAATCATAAAACAAAATGTTAGATAGAAAACATCATGAAAATAAACTTGAATCGTCCAAAGCTCTCTAAACTGAGTTCTCCAACGTAATGCGTTAAAAACTCTAATGGCTAAATAGCCTTATTTATACTACTACAAAAGAAAAGGTCTTCTAAAAACTAGGAAACATAATAGAATAAGATAATTAGGAAATTCATTCCTATTCTAACTTTTGGAAAATCTTCCAAGCTGTAAAACAGCCACGTTTCTGGATTTGTAAGGCTCCAAAACAGGTTCAAAACAGCTAGAATTAAAGCTTAGGACGTCCCGAACATAATTGCAGAAGGCCTCGAACCCAAAAGACATCATCTTGGATGTCAACAAGCCCAAATAAGCCCTCACCTTGACAGCATTGCGCGATGCTATTTTATTTCATCGCCATAAATTATCCGTTTAGTAGAAAAATCTGAAACTTTGATACGAACAAGCTGAGAGACTCATGAACATCTTCTAATTGGAATCACTCCAAAATTCGTACGTTTAATTACTTTTTTCTCAAGAGGAAGTCAAATGTCCTACATTGGAAATATAAGTCAAAGTTTCAAAATTCTCACAAAATAACCAATAAATTAGTACTAAGACAAGGATAAATGTTTTATACAGAATCGACTAATCAGATATTTGTCTTGTTTGAGCTTTGTGAAATATGTATTTGTTTGGACCCAAATTTACACCATCGGCCCGTGTAATCAAGGCCGTTAAGTAAGCATAGTTCTCAACTGTCGGATAGAAAAATGAAGATATTTTTGTTGAAGGATAATATTATGGTTTTTATCATAATTATCTTTTAATATGAATTATATTGGCATATTCTTAAACGGGATGGATAAGATGCAGATTATATCCTCAAGTAAGTGGTACAGTTCAAATTAATTTGGATGTCTGGCAATGAACGTGCAAATTGCAAAGCTTGGGGATTTGATGATTTTAAAGTCATGGTTTTGGATAATGATGGGATAAGGAACCTAGGTAGACTAGGCCTTTTTGCATGGTGATGGATATTGTCCGATGGGTTTAAAAGCTATTGATGGAGTTTTGATGATAAGAAGTCTAGGTGGGCTGGGCTTTTTATGAGATATGATAAAGCCTAACTTTTATTAGGTTTGAAAAGTTAAGGAAAAATATCACGAATCAATTTGAGGGATATGCGTTGGTTTCTGATGTGGATCAATTTCAATTCCACGAATTAGAGTTGTAGTGGAACTCTGCAAAATTATCTGGCCATGCCAAGCAAAAGATAAGTCCCTATTAATACAGAGGCGCTGTGCAAAGAGACCTCCAATTCAACACACAACTGCCCTGCACAAATTCTCTCAACAACCTTGAGATTTTTTATTTTCTCTTTTCGTCGGCACACCTTCAGTTTGGATAAACAACACTGTGAAGGCAACCAGTGATATCTTCAGTTGGCATAAACAGCACTGTCGCCGTAGAACCAGCCGATCTCGCAGCGTCTTCAGTTGCCATAAACAGCACTGCGTCGAGGGCGATTGGTTATCTACCAAAGTCTCGGTCGAGAAGGATTTTCAAATCCTTATTGGCAGAGGTCATCTCATTAGCTTTTTCGGCGAAGTGAGGTGTTACAAGTTATTACATTCGGCACATTAAAAGCCGAATTTGATATTGAACTTCGCAGAACTAGTAGCCTTGTCTTCATGCTCTAGAACCCGAAGGCCAAGAGTGCTCCTTCCTCGGCCGCAGTCGCGAGATTCAGAAGTTAGCAACGCACCCAAAGCAACATCAATAAATTTTACTCTTCGGCCAATGAGGCCGACTAGTTGGCACGCCCCGCACAAAACTGAAGGACGTAGTTAGCTCATAGATTACTCAGTCTGCGCGCCACGTAGGTTTAGTAATTTTTAGGGTCAACAATATTAGACTTGATCAATCTCTGTAATTGATATAATTGTGTATATTGGACTATGATTTGTATTACTATTATTGTCAATAACGCGGATATTGTGATAATGTTGATTATATACATATATCCTTTGTTTCCTTTTCAACCTTACAGTCCAGGTACCGATCTCAGGACATGAGGCATGTTTTTTTTCACCAATTTCCTATTTATGTATTCTAGTAGTTGTGTAAGGTCGGACGATAAGCCATCATATATATTGATTGTATGCATCTGCAACAACAGCTTCAGTATCGCAGCACATTTCATGGTACACCATAAAATGCACTTGCGCTACCTCAACTTCCATTTTCAATTTTTTAATCTCTTCCTTCAATGACTTATTCTCTGAAGTTCATAACCTATTGGTACATGGAGTGACTCATCGAGTTCGCACTCGTTAACACCTTTGTGGTAAAGATTGTCTTGTGAACTGATGAGTTGAAAATTTTTTAACAGGTCG